AATATTTTCTTTTGTTATAAACGCATTGTAATTTTCTACATCTCACATGACTGCATATTGTTTCTTCAAGATCTGTACTTTTCTATGTTTTTTTGCTTTATTGTTTAAAATTGCATGTACTGTAATATGGTGTTGTGTGGGAGCATTAACTGCAACTTTGTTTTGTTTGACTATTTCTAAACATATATATTAAACGATTTTTATGCCTTAAGTCTGTTTCTGTATAACTAATAGAACGTGTAAGAAAAGAAACAAGAGAAACATAGTAGCAAAAGGGAGGAAAATGTGAAATTTTGCAGATCAACAATCAAAATCAGTAGCAACTTAGGATTGACATTAATTGGCCTTATGTTTTCTGCAGGTTTCTTCCTTTGGCTTCTTTGAAGTTTAGTTTCACTAAGTGGTCTCTTCTTTGTCATTTAATCAACAATCAAAATCAGTAGCAACTTAGGATGTCACCAATAAAGCATAAAATCCACCATGAATTCAAATAAAAACCATAAATTGACCAGTCTTACAAGAAAAGTTACTGAAAAGTGAGAATCCTAAAGAAACATGAAAAACATATCAGCTTAAATCAAGATCAACAATCAAAACCTCTCACTGGCTCTGTGTTTACTTAAGTCACTTCCTTTAGCTTCTTTGAAACCGGGTTGCATAAATCTGTCTCCTCCTTTGGTTTCTTAGCAATCAAACTCCATAAAGCAGTGCTCAAAGCAGACGATGTCACCAATGAAGCTCTCAGCAAATTCAAAGCCTAATACAAAAGATTAGTTTCGATCAGTTTCATAAATTTACAGATAATTAAACAAAAAGGGCTTTATTATATATACAAGCACATACCTCTGTTTTGGTGATGCTAATTACTTGCACCTCAAGATTGTCTGCATGACTCTGCAACTTCTTCAGTAAACAAACTGTTGAACATGAGTTCATAGATGTAATAGTCAGATCATCTAATACCGTAAACTTTGTTGCTTTCTTCAAGAACCCGTAACAACGCCTTGACTGATCCTTGCCACTGGATTTTGGATCCATCAAATTCACCTTAACTATTCCGTCTTTGTGATAATTAGTAGTTCGATTACCGTTTGTAGTCAGACCATACTCCACTTGATTTGAACTGTAAAGCCTGTAACGGTAGTAAACCGGAGGTTGTTGAGTGATGATACTTGGCAATTGCATCTTGAAATCATCGGTAATGATGACTGCCACTTTCAAGTCATCGGTAATGATGAATGAACACCTACCATTGACAAATACTCCATTAGCATCATCAGTTTGGCCTGCAAGAAGTTCTTCATTTTCCAACTGAATCTCCTTGCTTGTCAAGGCTCCGCAACGACATCGAGAAGTGCTAAAATTGCTGAAAAAGCTGCAGTATCTTGAGCACTGAAAGCACTTGATGTCCTGAGTAGGGTTTATGTTGACCTTAAGCCGATTGCACTGGACCTCCCTTACACTTCTTGGATAAAGGAGCATCTGCTTACAAGTTTCGGTCTCAAAATCATCAATGCTCATGTCCACAACACTTTTATAGAGGTTAGTAAAACAACCAATCTCAGATTTTCGATGAATCTTAAGCAATCTGATAATGGTGCCCATTGGCAGTGTCAGAAGGCTAAAGAGCACATCAACAAAATCTCTACAAGCCTCAGCCAAAACAACTTTCTTTTTCTCTTCATCAACAATAAGTCTCAAAGTAAATTTAGGCTCCACAGAAATTTTAGCCATTATAGATGAAAGAAAGACAAAAAAAAAAAAGCAAGACAGAAGAAAATGTTTTTACGACACTAAGCAACACAAGAAAGGCATTAGGAACTGAAGCACCAACTCTAGTTTTATAAGAGGGTCTAAAGTGTGACATTGAATGAACAAATATTAATGATCAACACCCAAAAAAAAACTCACCCTTTGAACTTTTTCTATTAACTGCGTACTCGTAAACATAATATTAACCACTTACCAATGTTTAAACATTGAATGAACAAATTATTAATTGGTCATCAAACCCCAAAAGTCACAGTCAAAGACAATCCTTTGAACTACCTTCCTGGAGTAAAACGAACCATAGGAAAATAACAGTTTTTTTTTCCCTTCTCAAAAGGAAGAGTAAATAATGTAGAATAAACCAAGTAGCTAAGCCAACTAAGATGTGCAAGAATTTAACCAAAATTTGAACATTGAGTGTTTCAAATGAACTTCAAGTCTCTGTCTTTGGTTTCTTCGAATTCGGATTCCATCTATCTTCTTCCTTTGGTACTTTCCATACAATCAAATTCCTAAAAGCAGAGTTCAAAGCAGAGGATGTCACCAATGAAGCTTTCAACAGATTCAACGCTTGATTTATTAAACAAGAGAGAATCATAAATTTAGTAGGAGAAATAAAATGGTTTATTTTCTAAAAAAAAGGTTTTGTTTTTACCTCTGCTTTGCTGATACTAATTACTTGCACCTCAAGATCCTTTGTATGTATCTGCAACTTCTTTAACACACTAAAGGTTGAGCTAGAGTTCTTAGGTGTAACAGTGAGATCATCTGAGACAATAAACTTTGTGTCTCTCTTCACAAACCCAATACTATTTTTTGAACCGCAATCAGATTTTGGATCCACTACAGTCATGCGCTCGCTTGTACTAGTACGTTTTGCAGTCAAACTGAAGCTTTCAAAATAAGATAGTTTCTTGGAATGAGTGTAGGTTACGTAAGCCCGTGGTTTCGTAGCGGCCATATCGAGCAACTGATCCGGGAAACCATAGTAATACGGAAGCAAGCATTTGATATTATCATTACCACTCAAGTCCTTGAAGCTTTTGCACAAGTTTCCAACACAACCTAAGGTGATATTGTTGCTAGAGTTAGAGATTTCCCATGTAGAATCCAGCGGAATGGCGAGAAAAGTGAAAAGAAGATTCACAAAGTCTTCACCGCATTCGACAAACATAATCTTCATGTCTTGTTTCCTTACTATTGCATCAAAAGTTATCACTTTGTCTGGTTCTGCTTCATCTTTATTCTTCTCCAAGCTTGGACTAAACCTTCTATAAATATTCCTCAACTTTTGATTCTTCAAGAAAGTATCCGTCAAGGGAGCATTTGAGGAGAATACATATTGCAGAAATGTTAGTACCTCTTTGAGACTAATATCAAGAACCCTTTCACTCAACTTACTAACATCACAACAACCTAAATCTTGAAGCGTTTTCAAGAGAGAACTAGTCGAGTCAACGGTAATGATAAATGAGGACCTCTCTCTGATTAATACTCCATCGAAATCATTCTCAATGCCGCCTACAAATTTCTCACCTTCTAAGAAACTCATCTCGTCCTTCATCAGTTTTCCGCAATCACATAGGGAAGTACTAAAGTTACTACTCATACGACACCTATAGAAATATGGGCACACAAAGAACTTGAAGCCTTCAATAGGGTTTATGTTAAGCTAAAGTCTCTGCAGTGAGCTTCCTTAATGCTCTTAGGGTAAAGTAACATCTCTTTACAAGCTTCAGTCTCAAATTCGTCAACTTTCATGTCAACAACACTTCTATAAAGGTTGTTAAAACATCCAACAGTAACTGGCTCAGACCTTTGATGCTTCTCAAGCAATCTGACTTTAGTTCCCATTGGTAATGTCAAAAAGCTGTAGAGTAGTTCAACAAAATTCTTACCTGCCTCGGCTAAAATAACCTTGTTCTTCTCTTCATCAATGATAAGTCTCAAACTAATCTTTGGTTCCTTTGAACTTTTAGCCATTGTAGATCAGATATATGAAAAAAATAAGCTTTTCCTCGACTCAAAATAGGAATGATACAAACCAAAGTACCAAACCCTTATATTCACATTTTGTTTGAAGAGATCTCAAAGATATGAGATAAGGAAGTGAAAATATCAATATTCCTAGAATATATCTTTAGAAATCTTTTTGCAATAAAACAGTGTGTGTTGAATTCATGCATATAAAAATATGTCTGAAATAAATAAATATAGATTCAACATTAAAGTTTGATGTAGAGAGAAACGAAAAGCAATGCACTTAAAACAAAACAAACGGAAAAAGGTGGATTTTCAGAGCTTAAGATCATGTTCAACAGTCACTAGCAACACTCAGGTTTTCTCATTGAATCTTTGTTTCTTCAAGTTTCTTCCTTTGGCTTCTTCGCGATCAAGTTCCATAGAGCAGTGTTCAAAGCAGAGGATGTCACCAAAGAAGCTCTCAACAAACTCATCACCTGATTTTAAAGACAGTTCGAAATCAAAGTTAGTTTAACAAAGGAAGAACAAAGTAAAGTAAATAACTTGAGAAAGAAGAAAGGTTACCTCGGCTTTACGGATTCTAATTACTTGAACATCAATATCATCTGCCTTAACCTGCAACTTCTTCATAAAGCAAATAGATGTGTTTAAAGAATTCCTAGGTGTGATTATCAGATCATCTGAAACCTTAAACCTTGTTCCTCTCTTCACAAAACCACTACCATTCTCTGACTGATCTCTACCATGAGATTTCGGATCAATCATAGTCACGGAAACTAGTCTGTCCTTTCGATAGAGCAGAGTCCGATCAGAATCCGTAGTCAAACTGTAGTTTGGTTGCCTAGGATTGGAATTCCTGTACCGGTAGTAAACCGGTGGTTCTTCAGTGGTGATGATATTAGAGAACTGCTTCTGGCATTTGTAGTAATAAGGAAGCACACATTTGGAAGCTGAATCAACACTCAATTCCTTGAAGCTTCCGAACAAGTTTCCAATGCATCCATAAGTTGAGTTCTTACCAGAGATTTCCAATACAGATTCGAGAGGGACCGCGAGAAAAGTGAAAAGAAGATCAACAAATTCTTCTCCGCATTCAAGATACAGAATCTTCATGTCTTGCTTCCTTACTATTGCATCCAAAGTAAATTCTGGTTCTGCTACATCTGTTTTTACCTCCACAAATGGACTCAAAACCTTGTGTGTGTTCTTCTTCACATCGTCTTGATTTTGCTTCTTCAAGAAAGTATCTGTTAAGGGAGTACTTGAGGTGAACATACACTCGAAAAGAGACAGAATCTATATGACAAACAAACAAAGAAAAAAAAGTCAGTACTAAAGAAGCTTATATCATGTTTTGAAAATGTAACACAATACAATAGTTGATATAAACCTCTTTAAGACCGAGATCGAGAAACTGTTCACCAAGCTTACTAACATCAGAACAACCTAAACGATTGAGTGTATTCAAGACAAGACCAGTACAATCAATAGACACTTTCAAGTCGTCGGTTATGATAAATGAAGATCTTCCACTTACAAATACTCCACTAGCATCATTTTGAATGCTACCTGAAGCTTTATCTTCTTCTGATAATTCAATTTCTTGGTTCATCTCCTCTCCGCACTCGCAATCAGAGCCACTAAAATTACTGCACAAGTTGCAACGAGAGAAAAAAGGGCACTTGAAGTGCTTGAGATCATCATTAGGGTTAATGTTGAGCTTGAGCCTTTTGCACTCAACTTCCTTCACACTCCTTGGATTAAGCAACATCTGCTTACAAGCTTCAGTCTCAAAATTTTCAATGCTCATGTCCGAAACACTTTTATAGAGGTTGCTAAAACAACCAACAGTTACCGGCTCCTGTTGTCGATGATTTTCCAGCAATCTAACAATGGTGCCCATTGGAAGTGTCAGAAGGCTGAAGAGTACATCGACAAAATCTCTATCAGCCTCAGCTAAAACGGCCTTGTTCTTCTCTTCATCGATTATAACTCTCAAAGTAAACCTCGGTTCCTCTGAAATTTCAGCCATTAT